TATTGTAAGAGGGAAGGTAATAGGAGAAATTAAAGTTGTGGTTAACGTGTTATATGTTTTAATTTCTAAACGTGTAGAATATTTTATTAAAAATGGAATGTTCAATTTAGAATGAAAAAACTGATTCATTGTTTAAGCTAGCAACACAATCTTGTTGAATAACACTTTAATAAATTACCTTTTCATATTAAAATTATGACATTTGAATATACAGGCCTGAACATTTATAAATGTTAGAAAGTATATAACTGTACAATATTGCAATATTTATCCCTCTTTTCTCTTTTAACTGCAAAATTGTGCTGTATGTATTTTCTGATGGCATTTTACTTTGTGGGTGATTTCTCCAAAATTTTTCAGCAATGCAATACAATGGGTAAGCTGTTCAGTTATTTTAACCTGAGTTATGCAGGGAAGAATATTAGTGTTATGATGGAATGTATAACAGACTGGGAAAATAGAGGGACCATTGCAAAAGAGATACTCAGTTAATGACTGCAGTTGGAATTGGTAACTGTTGCTAAAATATAAAAGGAAAAATGATGAGATTTGCAACAGCAGTTCTGGTTGAGATTGTTAAACAAATCACATGTGGTTATTGAGTGTGATGTCACATAACTGCGACCTGCAACTTCTTCCAGCTTTCCCAACAGCTCTGCTGGTTGGAATCTGGCAGTGAATGTCATAAATAGCCAAATTGGGTAACCAAATTGGGATCATGTGAGCAAGGGGAATGCTGTGACAGCTGCAACTTCAAGGAATGGTCATCTCTTCGTTCAGCAATGTTGTAGTGTTGAATAGTCACTAAATGAATAGTTGCAAAACAGGAATTATCTGCACTTCAGCCCAGAGTAGGGAGAAGCATAAGAAAAGGGATTCAGAATAACTCTACCTCCATTACATTAGATAAGAGTTGAGTGGGAGAATTTAACAGGCTTCCAAGGTTCTGCTACATTAACTTACTGGCAATAAAAATCTTTCCAGAAATTTATGTGGCTTTTGTTTTCAGACTGCCTAAAAGAGCCTGACACGTGCTACTACACATTAAAAGTGTGAGAGAAATAAAATCATTTTATTTTGTATAAGTAGCGCTCAACTTACGATCACAATGGAGCCTGGAATTTTGGCTGTATGTCATTGCATTTGTAAGTCAAGGCAACATGTGATTGGACTTATTTTATGACTGTCATAAAGCGAGAAACTAGTCATTAAGTGAATCCATTTCTCTGGGCATTTTTTGCCAGAAATTGACAGAAAATATTGGAAACTGACAAATGGACAATGCAATTGGTTGCAAAAGCTTGCAAATACCTGAAACACAATCATATAACCCTGTGTGTGTGTGTGTGTATGTGTGTGTGTGCATGCGCATACCCTGTCACTCTGAGGAAGGAGCTTTTTAAAATTACAACATAATTGAAAGGTTGTTCAACCACTAGTCATAAGTTGAGGACTACCTACATATTGGCTTCATGGCTGCAAGAAACTGATTTGATTTGATGGAATAATTCAGGGATGTCAAATTAAGGCCCGCGGGTTGAATCTGGCCCACAGGGTGATTAGATCTGGCCGTGTGGTTGCCCAGGAAACAGCGAAGGACCGACCTGCGGTGCCTCTGCCAACAAAAACTCCATTTTCGCTGGCAGAGGGCTGCATGATCTTGAGCTGGCCACACCCATCCCAGCCATTGCCATCCCAACCGTGCCCATTCGGCCCCCCCTCTGAGGTCAAACNTGCATTCTAACCACTGTGCCACCGGAGCTCAAATCCTCTAATATTGTTTTCTGCCTCCTGCTTTAAATATTAAAAAAATCTGGCCTGATACCGGGGGTGTTAATTAATCCCTACAAAATGTAATCTTTCATTCTCTTCTGCACAGTGAATAGAGGACCCACTAGATGAATGCTGTAATGATAAACTTTGAATCTTTTACAGTAGTCTTCAAGTTACAACCATAATGGAGCCTGCTTATTAGGGTTGGAAGTCTAATCAGTCTAAGCGACCTGTTTACGATCTCTCAAGGTCTCCCCACCCTTCATGCAGGCCATCATAGCTGTCCATCTGACTGCTCAGGGCTGGCTTCCCAAAACCAGGCATGAGGCATGAGAGCTTTGCCATCACTTAGTGGCCATCTGATTGTCACAGAAAGCTCAAAAAGCAGCCACTATTTCTGTAAAGAATTGTGGGGGCACTGAAAAGGGCTGATTCTAGGAGGCATGGGGAACAGGCCTTGAGCACTGCAGGTCCCATTAAGGCAGGATGGTGGGAAGAGAAGCAGGGGATGCTGCAGCATCTCCGTGGTCTCTTATATGGACAAAGGACCACGGGGACACTGAAGCTGTCCTAACTTTGAAACATGGTCACATATGGTTTTGGGGTATCAGTCTTAACTTTGATTGTTAAGTGGCTTGTCATTTCTTGAGATTACCGATATAAAGATCTTCTTCAAATAGCAGGTAATTATGGTTTTTCAGTTAATAATTTTGAATGTATTGTTTGTAGAATTTGGAAAAATCATTCTAATAGGGAGCTGAAGGTTTGAAAATTCACCTGTGAGAAAAAATAAGGGCATTAAACAATATATGTCTATTATAAAATTAATGAAAAATATATTTATTCTGAATATAGCTAATCCAATTTTTTCAGCCTTAGCATTGAATACAATTTAATTTGAGGAGAAAAATAGTTTTATTACTTACACCCAGAAAGCATACTCTTTGTGGATTTATATGATCCTTATTTTTTTTATTTCATGACAACCCAAATATTATAAAAGATTTAATTATCAACCTTTTCAGCTATTATTTTTCTTGTATTGCTTCCTCAGCTTAGTTGTTCTGTTGTATGTAGAATTCAGAACGTTGCTATACACTGAAATAGTAGTTTAGTTTATGTTGTAACAAGATCTGACT